CCTCCCTCTCCAGTCCAAAGAGCAGTCAGGGTTTCCTGCCCTGTGGGAAGTTCAAGTTCCACCCCCCTCCCTCCAGGTCTAGGAAGGTGAGCATCCAAACAGACTAGGATCCCAAACAGCCAGTACATGCAGACGTAACAAGACCCAGTGCCATTGTAAATGGCTTCTCAGTCAGCTCCCATGTCAGCCACATTCGGAGAATCCGGTTTGATCACATGCTCGTTCAGTCCCAGTCCAGCTGGCCTTGGTGAGCTCTCATTTGATCAGTCCCCTTGTATCAGTGGGTGAACGCACCCCTCGCGGTCCTGATTTCCTTTTTCATGTTCTCCCTCCTTCTGCTCCTCATTTGGACCTTGCGGGGGCTCAGTCCAGTGCTCCAATGTGGGTCTCCATCTCTATCGCCATCCATCGTCGGATGAAGGTTCCCTCTGGTCCTGCCTATCTTGCTCACGTTTTCCCTCCTTCTGCTTTTCATTTGGATCTAGGGAGTTAAGTCCAGTGTTCCAATATGTGTCTCTGTCTCTATCTCCATCCATCGCCAGATGAAGGTTCTATGGTGATATGCAAAATATTCATCAGTATGGTTATGGGCCAAGGCCAGTTCAGGCACCCTCTCCTCTGCTGCCCAGGGAAGAATCTGGGGGCCTCTCCTTCGGCCTGAGAACCCCTCCAGAAACAAGTCTCTTGTCAACCCTAAAATGGCTCCCTTAGTTGAGATATATACTTGCCTGCTCCCCTATCCATCCTTCCTCCCCCATCTCATTTCCCCACGCCATCCCCAATCCTCCCCCTCTCCCTTCTCTCTAACCATCTCCCCTTACTTCCACCCCCCACCCCACCCCCCCCCATGCACCCAAGTTTGCCTGGCAATCTTGTCTCCTTCCAATATCCAAGAGGATAACTATATGATTTTCTTCATGTTCACCTTCTTATTTAGCTTCTCTAGGATCACGAATTATAGGCTCAAAGACCTTTAACTATGGCTAGAATCCACTTATGAGTGAGTACATACCATATTTCTCTTTTTGGGTCTGGGTTACCTCACTCAGTAAAGCGTTTTCTATTTCCATCCATTTGCACGCAAAATTCAAGATGTCATTGTTTTTTACTGCTGAGTAAAACTCTAATGTGTACATGTTCCACACCTTTTTTAACCATTCTTCTATTGAGGGGCACCTAGGTTGTTTCCATGTTCTAGCTATTACAAATAGCGCAGCTATGAACATAGTTGAACAAATGCTTTTGTAGTATGATAGGACATCTCTTGGGTATATTCCCAAGAGTGGAATTGCTGGGTCCTGAGGGAGGTTGACTCCCAGTTTCCTGAGAAACCGCCACACTGATTTCCACAGTGGCTGCACAAGTTTGCATTCCCACCAACAATGGATGAGTGTTCCCCTCACTCCCCATCCTCTCCAGCATAGGCTATCATTGGTGTTTTTGAGTTTAGCTATTCTGACAGGTGTAAGATGGTATCTCAAAGTTGTTTTGATTTGCATTTCCCTGATCGCTAAGGATGTTGAGCATGACCTTAAGTGTCTTTTGGCCATTCGAAGTTCATCTGTTGTGACTTCTCTGTTCAGTTAAGTACCCCATTTTTTAATTGGGTTAATTAGAGTTTTAGTATCTAGTTTCTCGAGTTCTTTGTATATTTTGGAGATCAGACCTTTGTCTGTTGAGGGGTTGGTGAAGATCTTCTCCTAGTCAGAAGGTAGCCTTTTTGTCTTACTGACAGTGTCCTTTGCTTTACAGAAGCTTCTCAGTTTCAGTAGGTCCCATTTATTCATTGATTCTCTTATTGTCTGCGCTCCTGGGGTTCTGCTTAGGAAGTGGTCTCCTGTGCCTATATCTTGTAGAGTACTTCCCACTTTCTTTTCTATCAGATTCAAAGTGGTCAGATTAATGTTGATGTCTTTAATGACATGGAGACTTTTTATTAATTACTAAAGCTTGGTCCTAGCTTAGGCACGTTCCCTACTAACCCTTAAAACTTAAATTAACTAATTTTTATTAATCTATGTTCTTCCACATGAGTTGTTACTTCTTCTAGTAATGTCTATTCTACATCCTTTAAATCTGGCTAATGAGTTTCCCACACCTATGACTCTTTCCCTGGGTTCCTATCTCTCCCCAGAAGTCCTTCCTATCCTCTCCTGCCTAGCTATTGGTCATTTAACTCCTTAGTAAACTAATCAAAAGGTGCTTTAGGTAGTCAGGCAAGGAAGAACAGAGACACATCTTCATAGTGTACAAAAAAGATTATCCTAACACATGTATCTCCCTGTGCACAGGTTTTTTTTTTTTTTGGCAGATGTCTCATGACCTGCCATTGCCAGCATCTTCAGGCCTCCACTGCAGCCCAGGCTGTCCTTCCCCAGTGTCTCACAACAGACTCTCAAGGCCTTCATGTAGGGACTTCCCTGAGACACACTGTGTGGTCTCAGTGGCTCTCTGAAACTGAAAAGTAAAATTCATGACCCACCCACTCTTGTCTTTATGACTCTGAAGCCAGTATCTGAAACCTCGAGGCTCCTACTCTAATATAACCTTAAGCTCTCTCTGCTTATAGCATTCATTGTTTTTCTAGTCCAAAGCACTAGAATCTTCCACATCCTCCAAAGTACACAGGCAGGCTCTTCGCAGCAGCACCCACTCTCTGGTACCAATGTCTGTCTGTTACTTGTCCTAGGTTACTTTCTATTGATATGATAAAACACCATGACCAAAAGGGAAGGGTTTATTTGGATTACAATTCCATGCAAAGATCCACCTTTGAGGAAGACCAGGGCAGGGCCTCAAGGAAGGAACGGAAGCAGGGGACATGGAGGCTGGCTGTTTCCTGGCTTGCTACCCAGGGCTTGCTCAAGTTAGGCAACCTGCTCAAGGGTGGTAGCTCTCATAGTACCCTTGGCCCACCCACATCAATCACTAATCATAAGATGCCCCCACAATCTTGACCACAGGCCAAGAGGCATGTTGATAGAGGCATTTTCTCACTTGAGGGTTTCTCAAATGACCCAGCCTATGTTAGGTTGATAGAAAACTTACCAGCACACCAATTTTATGATTTTTGTTATTAAATACCATGAACAAAGCACTTTATATAAGAAATGGTTCATTTTGGCTTCTGTTTCCAGATAGTTGGAGTCCATCATGGCAGTAAAGCACAGTCACAAGCTCCCATCTTGAAATCCAAGCATGAAGCAGAGAAGGCAAACGAAGCATCATGGGGCTTAAGTTCTCAAAAACTGCCTCTAAGTGATATACTTTCTCCAATAAGGCCACGCCTCCTAAACCTGCCCATACAGTGATGGACATTTCTCATTCAAACCACAAGTGAGTTTTAGTGGAAGAGAGGATGGATAAGTACAGGTTTAGGGTGGCGAAAATAATTAAAATTCTCAAGGAAAAAATAGAAGTCAGGAAAAAGAAAAATGTGTCCACAATAGCTAGCATTTCTTCCTCTCTGATTCATGCATCTGCTTAGGTTTACTTAGGGGGTTACCTAGTTCAGTTGCGAGGGTTTTGAATTAAAAGAACATTGTATGATAACATTTAAGCCACACTGATTCTGCTGATGTTTTAGGAGAACGTTTAATGCCATTTCCAGAATGCTCATACAATGAATAATTTCCTTAAAATATAAAAGCAGTCACAAAGAAACAATAAAAAATGACCACGACAATTTTAAGTGAGAAAAATTAGAACAATTTTCCTAGAAGAAAAAACAAAAAGTTATAAAACTATTCTAACTAAAGTAGCATATGCTTGACAGAGATAGGCATGTAGATTGATGGATAAAGTGTATCAACACAGCTCCAGACTATAGAAATTGAATATGCCGTGTCAGTGTATATTGGATCACCTAACCTTGGAGGGAATAAAAGGTCTCTGCTACCTATTATACATGGACCACCAGCAACATCAGGAAGAAAATGTGTGTGTGTGTACACACACACACATGCATGTGTGTAACAAAATGAGAGCGCAGGTTCAAAATTGAAATTTATTTTTGAGGTAACAAAACATATAAATGTTACCTACACTGCTGCTTTGTGTGCCCGGCTTGAGAAAAAAAAGATTCTCCCATGTGCTTAGAGATTAAGAAAAGAATGCCACAAAACTGTAATAGCCAAAGCATTGAATAAAGGTTCAGTGTCCATTATGAGATGGACTAATAAAATATGGCATACGGCTACAACAGAAGACCACAGAGTATTGTAAAATGAATAAAACAACTACATGTTTCAACATTAATAAATCCAGGAGGTGTATTAAGTATAAAAATGAAGTTTCAAAATGCTGTATGCAATATAATAAATGTTGTGCAAAATAAAAGCAAAGCCACTCTATGATGTTTAAAGGCTGTGCATATGCCATAATGGTAGAGAACCCTGACTGAGAAAGAAAACCAGCAAAGGCAGGGCAATTTCTAAAAGAAACTTGAAGAAGATATCGGCAAAAGGTTAATATTTTTGCAAAATGGTATAATGTGCCCAGAGATATTTTATATTGTTTCTATCCATTTCGAGATAGGAAAATACTTCTTCAACATTCTAGTAATTTTAAGCTTTGTGTCTGCTAAAATTAAATCACACTTGCGGAAATCATACAGAGTAGTGAAAACTGGGAAACTAAGGGTTGACCACGGTCAGAGACAGAGAGCATCTGTTTCCCTTGTCACGGAACAGCCTTTGGATGGAAGCAGAGCTCATCTGAAGTTCAGCATCTCAAGGCTGGAGCATCTCTAAGTAACCCAAGCCCATCTCTGACAGTGTACGGAGGCAGCGCACCTGTGGAGAAGGTGGAAGAGCGAAGGGCAGGAGTCTTGGGTCACCAACAGGTCCTTGCATCTTCTCTCCACTTGAGCTCCTTAGAGAGGGTAGGAGACAATGTGTCACAGGCCATGTGGAAATGGGAAATGTCATTTGCTCGTTTGTTTCTTCATTCATGTATGAATTCCACTACTATTTTTGGAATACACACTAAGTGGCCAGTTCTCTCTCTCTCCTCTCTCTCTCTCTCTCTCTCTCTCTCTCTCTCTCTCTCTCTCTCTC